CCTTCTACAATTCGAGTTCCATCAACAGTTGCTTTAAAATCAAATGTACTTGTTGCAGTACGAATAAACTGTGACTGTAGATCATCTTCAATATCACGAAGATTGGTAATTTTGGGATTCATTCCCTTTATATACATTTTTACCTATTTAAAAATTGCTTTTGTACTTTATTACTATTTAAAAATTGATTGAAGTCAATTAATAAATTCCAATTTATCAAACATTTTTTGACCATAAATTAAAAATAATAAAGTTACACAATTTATTACCATACAATCAATAACAATGATAAATAACAATTTTAAAAAAATTTAATTCATTTAAAATAATTTATTAAAATAAATAATAAAAAATAATTTATTCTATCTAGATGTTTTTAATTGAATATGCTTTCTGATGACTTATTGTGAATTTTTGAACACTCAATTTTACAGTTAAAGTTTAAATTTAATAAAAAGTTAAGTTTAATAAAAAAAAAATTTTTTACATTGCCCATCAGTGGTTAAATGGGTATAAACCACTGAACACTGTTGGTTGTAAGTTTGCATCCAATCAAAAGGCTGGCCATGTGAAGCTTTTTGGGTTTTTCTTATATATCTAAATGGGGCCAGTTTCCAGTAGAATGTCCTCCTGGGAGATACCCCCTTGGCAAATCATCCATGTATTGCATTGCCTCAGCACATCAAATCATTTTCTAAATCATTGAATTATTGAAAATACAAACATTGTAACATCTGAAATTCAGAGTTGGTGAATACCAATTTAGCAATAACTCAAGACTTAACACTAACTCTAACTCGTATTGGTAAATGCAGGGATTAGAGAAACTTTGAGTAACACACATCACACCTGGACAGTTGCATTTCTGATTGTGACACATAATGATTGTACAGATAACAGATACAAAACACACATCTGCAAAACATCATCATTCCTTTATAAATAACTTCTACATTTTCACTTTAGTTTAAAAGATTACAGAATATTGGAAAGTAATATTTATAAAAATAAACACTAAATTTTTTAAATTATTTTAATGAATTGTAATGGAAATAATGATTTTAATTTAATATTTTAAATGTTTTTAAACTGAAAAATGACAAATTTAACATCATCTCAAAAACCTCACAAAAAACAGATTAATTTTTATAAATTTCATTATATATATATATAAAATTTTGATATATAAATTGAAAAATTTTGATATATACAAATTGAAAAATTTTGATATATATATCAAAATTTTTACCAACATCGGAGATAATTTTTCACAGTTGTTATAATTAAGGGGAATAGTTTTGAATTTAAAAATGTTTGAACTTTCAACATCAATAAAAATGTATAGAATAACACACCTCAATATCAATATTTTTAAATGGTGATGGTATTCTTCCTTTCTGAACAACATTTCCATTTGGTCCATGAACATAATAATGATATATATGCCTAAAATACAAATAAAAATATATTTAAATATAATAAATTCTAAAAATAAATTTCTTTTAGAAAGCAATATTTTATGGAATAAATAAACAAAGTAAAAACAAAAAGTAAAGTTTATATCAAAAAATAAAATGATTTTGATAAAACAAGGTTCCCACAAGATTTTTTAAGTCAATATTCGTGATATTTCCTGACTTTACCTGACCAGTTTTTTTAAAAATTCCTGACTCATACAATATCTGTCAATAGCTGTCAAGCCTATACTTTGCAATTTTTTTGGAATTTTTTAAATGAAGCCTCCACTATCCCCATAATTGCCCCGCTCTCAACTTTTATTTTCATTTTGATAATATTAATAACTCTTCCATGGTCACCACCTGGTCGTGGTGGGAGAGTCCAGTAATTTTACTGATCCATAAAACAATGCCAGCTGGAGCACAAGCTCTTGGTAGAGACAGTCATGCCAGTAAGGTCTATGGGGAAAAATCAAGCTAAGAGTGACCACACCAACATTCTGTGGAGATATTTATCATGATAGTAATCAGATCTAAGTGTCATACTAGCTTGGATGTAACCTGGGTTAACAAGGTCCGCACTCATGGGTTAGGCAGAGGCTCACATTTGAAAAAATAGACCACAGTCTCCTTTGGTTACTGATGGTGAAAGCAGCGCCAGCCCAAGCATGGCTACTGCAATGCCCTCAACAGAAATGAGGAACCAACCTAGCCCTTGTTTCTGTGGCAATGCATTTACAGACCACAAAAGCTTGAAAACCACACCAATGGATGAAATGGACAATAGAAATGAACAAGTTTATCTCATCCACACTTACTACATCATCACAAGACTCAAAACAAACATGACAGCATATAGACAACAACTACACTATAGATTCACAAAACAATATCCTCACCTCACTGTCATCGACCAAAGGGTTGTTGATTAAAAAAGTACTACTATACACAACAACCTTATCCGACAAACAACACTCGAACTTATCAAACAACAGGTTGCTGATCAAATACATCAACAGACAGAAACATTTAACATTAATGAAGATCACTTAACCTGTCAGGATAATCCAGCAACAAGCATTGATAATAGCACGCACACAACAACTACCACTAATGATACTACAGACACTGCCTCGTCCACCACTAATAACATAGACATAGATTTAGTTAATATGCTCTCACTTATATTTCAGGAAACACTCACTAAATATACAGGTACAGATCCCACACAAAGACCATGAATACCAAAAATCAACACATCAAAGGTAGTAGGAAAAAATTATGTAAACACTAACTTACTACCAGACTACATTCATTCAATTTCTACACTCTCAGACATTCATACATTAGTTTATGCTGGGGCAGTCACAGTAGTGACATACTATGGACTGAAAATACAATCATACACAGATACACACAAAATACAATTGTATCACAATCCTACGTGGAAAAGAAGAATAGAAACACAAATAAATGACATTAGACAGCAATTAGGTAGGCTGACACAATACACTAAAAACAACCTAACACCAAAATTAAAGAAACAACTCAAAAACATTTTCAAGAAAATCAAAACACACAAAAAACATAAACATCACAACACACACATTACAGAATACATTGATACACTAAAACAAAAACTTGCAGCCAAAGCATATAGACTGAAACAATACAAAACATGTACAGTACACCAGAGATGGGCAACCTCTATCTATGTAAGGGCTGCATTTCAAAACTTTTACACTGACGCAGGCTGCATACAAGAGAAAAGAGGGGGGAATGTCGGTAAATCACAATTATTTATTCATATATAGCATAGGTATACTTAATTTAGCTTCTAGAACTGATGTAAACGTAATATATCAAAAATATTTGGTTAAATATTAGTCACTGCTAGTTTTAAATTAGTTTTGATGTGTCTGTTAGCTGGTATCTTGTTTTAATTTTTACTAAATTCATTGCAGAAAAACTATTCACATACATAAGTTGTAGAAAATAACATTTGAATTTTTGCTGCATACTAACTTAAGCTGGAAAATTGATATATTTATTCATATTTTATGTGATGTGTGCTGCATAAAAAATTACTGCAGACCGCATGCAGCCCAAGGGCTGCGGGTTGCCCATCCCTGATGTATACTACCAAAACAACAAAATAAGTTATTTACAAACAATGAAAAACTCTTTTACAGACAAATTAATACCAAAACACTAATACACAGCACAGTGGCACACCAACAGAAGAAGAACTCACAACTTAAGGACTTCTCTTTTGTCCAGTACTGTTACACATAATGCTGATACAGGCTGGATCGAGGAGGAGAACAAAACCTTGCACTACATACCAACTATGCCCTGTGCTGAAATAAATGTACACAACATCCACTATGCTGTTAACAGAGCACACAACTGGAAGACACCTGGTGTAGACAACATTCACAATTTCTGGTACAAAAAATTTACATCACTGCACCAGAACTAGCTAAACACCTAACATACATCATCATCAAGTCACAAGACATGCCAAACCAATTACCAATTACATGTCTTCCAACATTATAAAAATTTCTGACATCCTGTATCACAAACAAAATATACAAACATGTTGAAAACACAACATTCTTACAAACAACAAAAGGTTGCTGTAAAAATCACAGGGGATGCAAAAAACAGNGATACTTATTTCATCCTCCAGACTCCTGATGTCCTACTCACTCCTCCCCAATAAGCAGAGGCTCTAGCAAATTTCTTTGGTTGGCCTTGCCCAAGTGGGGCGTTTGCCCCTCTTCCGGCACCTCACCCACAGTACACTTGGCAGGACAACCAGCCATTCACCCTTTTGGATCTCTGCCAAGCCCTTAGATATCTCTATAACTCCACGCCAGGACCAGACGGCGTCAGCGCTCAGGCACTTAAGGCTCTCCCGCTGGAGGGAAATCACCTCTTACTAATTCAGCTGAACAAAATCTGGTCAATGGAAACCTTCCTCTCAGACTGGATGACAGCCACCATTGTCCCAATTGCCAAGCCAGGTTGCCTGGCAATGATGTGCTCCTCCTATCGACTGATCTTGCTGACGTCACACATTGCTAAAACATTAGTGTGTCTCATTCTCCAACGACTCCACTCTTTCATCTTCAGCACTGACCTTTATCATTACCATCACTTTGGTTTCCTCCCATACAGGGAAGTTAAAGACACGCTTTTTGATGGTGATATAGTGGTGGATGGCAATCCACTACCATATCACCATCAAAAGGACCAGGAGCCACTGGATGTACCTGGTTGCCCTTGACCTTGAAGGAGCCTACAACTCTATGTCAAGTAGGGCTTCTTGCCAAATTATCACGCATGGGCATAGGAGGAAGGATGCTGTGCTGGCTAACCTTCTTTCTCCAACATCAATCACACAGGCCACTTCAATTAAAAACCAGGCAGCGCCAGTTGGAGAAGAGAGCCAACTAGGCTAAAGTTTCCATATCAACCCAAGAAACAGAACAGAACAATATGCAATAATCCTTAAAAAAAAATTATAATACTTACAAGCTGGCCTTTCTTGAAAATTTTTCCATCCCATTCAATTGTATGATATACAGCCCAAGGATATTGTCTGTGTTTATGAAGTTCAGTTCTTGTAATTAACCCTTGATAATCACGAAAAATAACTTGTTTGTCACATTTTTCATGACATTGTTGAAGCCACTCAGTAAACTGTTTATCTATATTTGCACGTTTTTCCTAAAAATATTCCATAAAATATCAATAAATATTTATTTCATAGAAAATTAATTAATTAATCAATTTTATTAAATACTTAATTAAACTCAATTAATCAACTTTATTGATTCAAAACAGTAATATAATATAGTATTACTGTAGTATTTATAATATACAATAATTACATTACATTATAAATTAACCAATATACAATACTAATTATATTCCCTAAAAAGTCCCATCACTGTCACTCTCCCATATTTGGCAACACTTGCAACTGCTGATGCAGATAATATTCAGTCATCACGTTAATCACTTTCATATACATCATGCTATACTGAAAAATCATACTCATGTTTTTTCCACATAAATGGAAAAACAGCCATGGTCAGCACCTATAATTAATGTATAACATATAAAGGGAGCTACACAACTATTACATTATTACTGCTGTTACAATGTGGAATATGTTACTGTGACAATATGAGATTTTTGAAGCTATACCTATTACTTTATGTTAGAGGTACAAACTCTTTTATATATATGAAAAAAATACAAACAAGATTAGTCAATGTGAGATGATATATCATATCATATATATATATGAACAAAGAAGAAAAATATGATGAATTTTCAATTATATATATATAATTGAAAATTCATCATATTTTTCTTCTTTGTTCTCTGCTTTTATGGGATTAATTTTACCTAAACAGATCAATATTAGAATCATATTGTCTTTTCCTAGGCTCAAAAACATTTTTATTAGTACTACATGTATGAAATATATAATTTTTTGGAAATATTTTTATATGTAAATCACCTCTATAATAAAGTTCCTTACTAAACACATGTTCTATTATGTTATTAAAATTCTTTGTAAGTCCAAAGCTGTATATTGTAATTTTAAGTTGTTTTTGAAATAAATTCAATTCAATTAGTACAGTATAATTATTTGATCAATAAATTTACCTAAAAGTTTCAATTATATTTAAAATCTTGATTTTTTATTAGAATATACTAAATGAAAAATGATACATAATCCAACTTAAAAAGTCTGTATGACTTTAAAAATATTTTAGTTTAGTATATTAGCAGAACAAAAATGAGTTTTAAAATTTCATAAAAAGACCATTCTAACTGAAAAATTTCACATAAAAACAAATCAATAAACATTTATAAAATACAGTAGAATTTCCATATTTGTGAGGATTACATTCTGCAAAATTATCATTAATATAGAGAGAAGAAATACATTGATAAAATAAGATTAGTGAATGGAAAATATATATATATAATTAGAAAATAAAACAACATTTTCAAACCAATACATTTTTCATTTATTTTAAAATAAAAGTTAAGAATAATTATTATAACTTTTATACACTTTTATTCTTAAAAAATGTTAAATTTTTGTCTCTCTTGCCTTACACTTTGGAAGGTATGAAATAGTGATGTCTGATAACATGACATACAGTAATACCTCTGTTTTTATTGACTTCGATTATCGTCAATTTCAGCTTTCATCAATTTTTTTCACAAAAAAGTTGTCTCAGATTTTGTCGGTGTGCCCATATTTCATTCCCACGTGACCTTGCTGCTAACTTTGCAAAAACATAGGGCTACTCACACATTTTCCTGCACAGTGTGGCATTGTTTCTCATTGTGTGAGCATTACCCTGCATATCTAGCCAAACAATTCCATTGCTTTCCTTTCTTTTACCTCCACCATGGGACCAAAGAAAGTTTCCAGAGCCAGCTGCTCTTCGAATGCCATGTTAAATGTTCATTTATTCTTTACATTAGTTTTTTTATTCATTTTATACTAATTTTTTATTGTTTTTAATATTACCAATATTAAAAACACAATATACACAATATTTATTCTATATTAAATGTGTTTTTGGTATATATTTTGGAGTGTCTAGAACAAATTAATTGGATTTAAACTGATTCATGTGAAAATAATTGACTCGATTTTCGTTGGTTTCAGATTTCACCAATTGTTTTTGAATGGATTATCGATGAAAACCAAGGTATCACTGTACGTTCCTTAATTCCAACCTTAAATCTGGCATCATGCAGAAAATCCCTTCTCTTAAATTTTTGAAACTATTCTCTGAATTGAATTTAAGCATAGGTGATCTTAACTAGTTCTTGCACTAAAATGATGATGAAACAGATTCTTTGCTTTCAGCAGATAATGGAACCAATCAAAAGAACATTCTTTTCTGATTTATCTTCAGACCAAATCATTTTTTCAATGTTAGGATTTCTGATCATCTTTGCAATTTTTGCTCCTTAAGAGTAAGATGATTTTACTATATTTCCAATCTCTATCTGTGTTTTTCATAATGTATTGTTGATTCATTTACTGCAAATGAGCAAATAACTATAATTGCTGATTCTTTTTGCTGCAAACTAGCATTTTAATTTTGTCTTTGAAAAATATCACTTAATTTAACCTTTTTTATAATTTTCTACTACAATCTTTTCATTTAGCTGACATTGCCGATTTTTAAGTACAAAAGAAAAAAATAATTAAAATCTGCTTCTAAAATAGTGCTCACAATCATAATGCATAATAATACAAAACACAATATTTATTATTCACATAAGTGTGCATGATATAGTATAGTCTAATAGTCAACAATATAAATTGCATTAGATGGCATTCAAGATAAAAGAACTAAGAAGCATTTAATTGTCTCTATCTTTTTTTTTTACTTTTTTCTTTCCAGAAATAAGTGGATTTTAGCTTCTATAAATAAAAAAATTGGTTGAAAATTTACCAACCATGATATGCAAAATGCACAAATAAAGAATGTCTAAATATGGAGTTTCTACTGTAAATTATCTGAAAGTTTCACAACAATATAATTATTATATAATTTAAATATTTTTTTCATGTATAAGTGCCTATATCATATATGTATATGCATAATTACCTGTCCACTAATAACTCTTGTAAAAACAGCATTTTTATCTCTTAATTTATTCTCTAAATCTAAAAATGTCAATTTATTTGTACTGACTTGAAAAGAGTCATTTGTCCATAAAACACCTGATACTCTAAAATAAAAATAATTATGATCAATTTATAAATATTAACTTCAAAATAACTTTAATAGTATTACAAATTAGTATATTTCTCTCACCTATTATAACATTCTATTGGTATATTTTTTGCTTTTTTAGGAGCACTACACCAATCAAATTCATCTATTGTCGTATATGGAATAAGTCTTCCATTCCAGTAACATTCAAATATTGATCTTCTACCTCTAGCTGGACGTGTATCAGATTGAAAATAATCATGATCATCTTCAGGTTCTGGTAAAACTGTTGAACATAAATATTAAAAAATTTCATATATAATTTAAAGTTTAATATCATACCTTAATCATTATTACCTCTAGGATCTGCAGCATCAGGTGGAAAAGTTTCATGATCATAAAGAAATGGATGATACCTAAGCACACCTTCTACAATTCGAGTTCCATCAACAGTTGCTTTAAAATCAAATGTACTTGTTGCAGTACGAATAAACTGTGACTGTAGATCATCTTCAATATCACGAAGATTGGTAATTTTGGGATTCATTCCCTTTATATACATTTTTACCTATTTAAAAATTGCTTTTGTACTTTATTACTATTTAAAAATTGATTGAAGTCAATTAATAAATTCCAATTTATCAAACATTTTTTGACCATAAATTAAAAATAATAAAGTTACACAATTTATTACCATACAATCAATAACAATGATAAATAACAATTTAAAAAAAATTTAATTCATTTAAAATAATTTATTAAAATAAATAATAAAAAATAATTTATTCTATCTAGATGTTTTTAATTGAATATGCTTTCTGATGACTTATTGTGAATTTTTGAACACTCAATTTTACAGTTAAAGTTTAAATTTAATAAAAAGTTAAGTTTAATAAAAAAAAAATTTTTTACATTGCCCATCAGTGGTTAAATGGGTATAAACCACTGAACACTGTTGGTTGTAAGTTTGCATCCAATCAAAAGGCTGGCCATGTGAAGCTTTTTGGGTTTTTCTTATATATCTAAATGGGGCCAGTTTCCAGTAGAATGTCCTCCTGGGAGATACCCCCTTGGCAAATCATCCATGTATTGCATTGCCTCAGCACATCAAATCATTTTCTAAATCATTGAATTATTGAAAATACAAACATTGTAACATCTGAAATTCAGAGTTGGTGAATACCAATTTAGCAATAACTCAAGACTTAACACTAACTCTAACTCGTATTGGTAAATGCAGGGATTAGAGAAACTTTGAGTAACACACATCACACCTGGACAGTTGCATTTCTGATTGTGACACATAATGATTGTACAGATAACAGATACAAAACACACATCTGCAAAACATCATCATTCCTTTATAAATAACTTCTACATTTTCACTTTAGTTTAAAAGATTACAGAATATTGGAAAGTAATATTTATAAAAATAAACACTAAATTTTTTAAATTATTTTAATGAATTGTAATGGAAATAATGATTTTAATTTAATATTTTAAATGTTTTTAAACTGAAAAATGACAAATTTAACATCATCTCAAAAACCTCACAAAAAACAGATTAATTTTTATAAATTTCATTATATATATATATAAAATTTTGATATATAAATTGAAAAATTTTGATATATACAAATTGAAAAATTTTGATATATATATCAAAATTTTTACCAACATCGGAGATAATTTTTCACAGTTGTTATAATTAAGGGGAATAGTTTTGAATTTAAAAATGTTTGAACTTTCAACATCAATAAAAATGTATAGAATAACACACCTCAATATCAATATTTTTAAATGGTGATGGTATTCTTCCTTTCTGAACAACATTTCCATTTGGTCCATGAACATAATAATGATATATATGCCTAAAATACAAATAAAAATATATTTAAATATAATAAATTCTAAAAATAAATTTCTTTTAGAAAGCAATATTTTATGGAATAAATAAACAAAGTAAAAACAAAAAGTAAAGTTTATATCAAAAAATAAAATGATTTTGATAAAACAAGGTTCCCACTAGATTTTTTAAGTCAATATTCGTGATATTTCCTGACTTTACCTGACCAGTTTTTTTAAAAATTCCTGACTCATACAATATCTGTCAATAGCTGTCAAGCCTATACTTTGCAATTTTTTTGGAATTTTTTAAATGAAGCCTCCACTATCCCCATAATTGCCCCGCTCTCAACTTTTATTTTCATTTTGATAATATTAATAACTCTTCCATGGTCACCACCTGGTCGTGGTGGGAGAGTCCAGTAATTTTACTGATCCATAAAACAATGCCAGCTGGAGCACAAGCTCTTGGTAGAGACAGTCATGCCAGTAAGGTCTATGGGGAAAAATCAAGCTAAGAGTGACCACACCAACATTCTGTGGAGATATTTATCATGATAGTAATCAGATCTAAGTGTCATACTAGCTTGGATGTAACCTGGGTTAACAAGGTCCGCACTCATGGGTTAGGCAGAGGCTCACATTTGAAAAAATAGACCACAGTCTCCTTTGGTTACTGATGGTGAAAGCAGCACCAGCCCAAGCATGGCTACTGCAATGCCCTCAACAGAAATGAGGAACCAACCTAGCCCTTGTTTCTGTGGCAATGCATTTACAGACCACAAAAGCTTGAAAACCACACCAATGGATGAAATGGACAATAGAAATGAACAAGTTTATCTCATCCACACTTACTACATCATCACAAGACTCAAAACAAACATGACAGCATATAGACAACAACTACACTATAGATTCACAAAACAATATCCTCACCTCACTGTCATCGACCAAAGGGTTGTTGATTAAAAAAGTACTACTATACACAACAACCTTATCCGACAAACAACACTCGAACTTATCAAACAACAGGTTGCTGATCAAATACATCAACAAACAGAAACATTTAACATTAATGAAGATCACTTAACCTGTCAGGATAATCCAGCAACAAGCACTGATTACAGCACACACACAACAAGTACCACTAATGATACTGCAGGCACTTCCCCATCCATCACTGATAACGTAGACATAGAATTAGTTAATACGCTCTCACTTATATTTCAGGAAACACTCATTAAATATACTGGTACAGATCCCACACAAAGACCACGAATACCAAAAATCAACACGTCAAAGGCAGTAGGAAAAACACTAGATTATGTAAACACTCACTTACTACCAAACTACATTCATTCAATTTCTACACTCTCAGACATTCATACATTAGTTTATGCTGGGGCAGTCACAGTAGTAACACACCATGGACTGAAAATACACTCACAGACAGACACACACAAAACACAATCCTATCACAAGCCTGCCTGGCAGAGAAGAATAGAAACACAAATAAATGACATTAGACAGCAATTAGGCAGGCTGACACAATACACTAAAAACAACATAACACCCAAATTAAAGAAACAACTCAAAAACATTTTCAAGAAAATCAAAACACACACAAAACACGAACATCACAACACACACATTACAGAATACATCGATACACTAAAACAAAAACTCGCAGCCAAAGCACGTAGACTCAAACGATACAAAACATGTACACTACGAAAACAACAAAATAAATTATTCACAAACAATGAAAAACTTTTCTACAGACAAATCAGTACCAAAACAAACACTGATACACAGCACAGTGGCACACCAACAGAAGAAGAACTCACAACTTATTGGTCTTCTCTTTGGTCCAATGCTGTTACACACAATGCTGATGCAGGCTGGATCGAGGAGGAGAACAGAAACTTGCACAACATACCAACTATGCCCTGTGCTGAAATAAACGTACACGACATTCGCTACGCTGTTAACAGAACACACAACTGGAAGACACCTGGTGTAGACAACATTCACAATTTCTGGTACAAAAAGTTTACATCACTGCACCAGGAACTAGCTAAACATCTAACACACATCATCATCAATCCACAAGACATGCCAAAATTTCTTACTCAGGGCATCACCTACATGAAACCTAAAAACAACAACACCACAGACCCCACACAATACAGACCAATTACATGTCTTCCAACACTCTACAAATTATTGACATCCTGTATCACAAACAAAATATACAAACATGTTGAAGAACACGACATTCTTACAGAACAACAAAAAGGTTGCCGTAGAAATCACAGGGGATGCAAAGAACAGTTACTCATAGATTCAGTCATTCTACGGCAAGCACACAAACAACACAGAAACATACACATGGCATATATAGACTACAGAAAAGCATTCGACAGTGTTCCACACAGTTGGCTGCTACATATTCTACACATGTACAAAATACATCCATCACTCATTGCATTCTTCGAAAACACTATGCAGCACTGGAGAACAACACTACATCTCAGGGTTAGTAACACTTCCATACAAACAAACGAAATATTCATTAGGCGAGGAATTTTTCAAGGAGATTCCTTGAGTCCTCTCTGGTTCTGCCTAGCCCTGAATCCATTATCCAACATGTTAAACAACACGCAATATGGCTACAATATCAGACATGAAAAAACAACACAGTTTACACTGTCACATCTCATGTACATGGACGACATAAAACTTTATGCATCCACACAAAAACAACTTCATCAACTCCTACAAATCACACATTCATACACTAAGGACATACAAATGGAGTTTGGCTTAGACAAATGCAAAAAACTTCACATAGAAAAAGGAATCCTGAAGAAAGAAGATTTTGCACTTGGAAATGGAGACGTTATTGAATCCATGGAAGAGGGCGAGTTCTACAAGTACTTAGGATTCCAACAGGCCAAACTAACAGAACATACACAAATAAAGCAACGATTAATTAAAGAATACCAAAGTAGGTTAAACGCTATACTTAGAACACAGTTAAATGCAAAACACACAGTTAAAGCAATAAACACATATGTCATCCCAGTACTCACATACTCTTTTGGAGTTATACATTGGACTCACACAGATCTCGAGCAACTCCAAAGGAAAACAAGAACAACACTTACTAAGCATAAACAACATCATCCTAAATCCGCCACAGAAAGATTAACCCTTCCACGTAAAGAAGGCGGACGTGGCCTGATTGACATAGTTAACCTTCACTACAAACAAATACAGTCACTGCGAGAGTTTTTCTACAAGAAACAAGAAACATCACAGTTACATAAAGCAGTAACTCTAGCAGACTCAAATAACACACCATTAAACTTACACTCACAACATACAGACATGACACAACATATAAAAAGCATAGACAACATTAAGCAATCATGGGCTCAAAAGGCTCTCCATGGCAGGCATCCTTACGACCTGGCCCAGGATTTTGTTGACAAAACTGCGTCAAACAGCTGGTTAGATCGGGGATGCCTCTTTGGGGAGACGGAAGGATTCATGATTGCCATACAGGATCAGGTCATAAATACTAAAAACTACAGAAAACACATACTCAAAGATACAACACTCACAAATGACACATGCAGAAAATGTCACATCATGCCAGAAACTATACAACACATCACTTCTGGTTGCAAGCTCTTGGCACAGACAGATTACTTACATAGACACAATCAAGTAGCAAATATAATACACCAAGAGCTTGCAAAGAAACACAAATTGGCAGACATCCACGAACCATACTACAAGTATATTCCACAGACAGTATTGGAAAATAACACGCACAAAATGTATTACGACAGAGCCATAATCACAGATAAAACAATTTACCACAACAGACCAGACATCACACTCATTGACAAACACAATAAAATCACATACATTATAGACATATCCATTCAAAACCCTCACAATATATAAAAAACATGCACTGAAAAAATTAACAAGTACACAGAACTTGCCTGGGAAATAAAGCATCCGTGGAGAATGGATAAGATGCTTATTGTACCTGTCATTCTCTCCTGTACAGGTGTGATACCACACACACTACACAAAAGCCTGGGAACATTACAATTGAATAGAAATACATACATCAGACTACAGAAGGCCACTATATTTGAATACAAGCCACATTGTTAGGAAATTCCTGAGTACAGACACTGACACATTTATTTAATTTTTGTTTTTGGTTGCTATGCCTTGACTCTGTTCCGGCATAGTACACAGCCACCGGTATCAACCAAAAAAATAATAATAATAATAATAAACTTTATTGTACTTATTTTGTACAAGGGAAACTTAAAAGGTATGTACACATTAGTTTAGATGTTTATAAACTTTCACAAAGAAATAAAAAAATTTTACAAAATCCCATGTAACTAATATCTGGAGACTAAATAGTTTATAATACTTCCATGACAGCCAAATATCTGCTTACAGAATAGCTCCAGAATTCTACAAGATACAAAAAAATGTGTTATCATTCTAATAAAGAAATAACATCACAAAAGGTGCATGGTTTAGTAATATCTAAATTAATATATTTACAAAAAAATAATAAATGGTATTTGTTATATTTTAGTTGTATAATTAATGATTTAGCATGATAGTTCACTTCATGTAAAAGATAGTGATGAAAACCAAGTTAAAGACAGATCACAGCTTAATAAGGTACAGAAGAATCTCATTTTAATGAAATGCTTGGGTCGCCAAAAATTATCCATTGTTCTGAGAATTCATTTTATCACAAACAATGGATTTTCTGCACATCCTGGAAAATATCCATTATTCAAAACAATTTCCATTTTTTAACCCCTATATGTAAGAAACAACAGTACTTGAAATTATTGTCTCTTGAGCTCTTTGTTCTTTATCCCATAGAAACACACATGTTTGTAACATACATGTATATTATGTTGTATATGACTGTATATTATGCCATATGTGTATGACAATGCTGTACATACTGTAAGCATAAAAAGAGGCAAATTGCATATTTTCATTAGCACTTTGCCTAACTTCACAATTTGTTAAAAAAAACTCATCCATCTTGATTTCTTTCAATGTTGTTTTCCTGTCTACTGAATACAACATCACTTGATATTAGTAATGTCATGCACAGTACAACTTGTTCAATTATGCTAAAACTCATCAGGAAGGTCTTCACAACTTGGAAATACTCTATGGCCTCACTAAATTTCGGCAATACACTTGAACCAGTGACAGTGTTCTCTAGGGGTGCTTCCTCAACCATATCAGCCGCTGACTCTCTTTGTACACACACCCAAATGTAACAAGTGAACAATTTTTACTGTTAACTATGCAAGCTGTGAAAAACAAAACATTTCACATTTTGAATTAAAATAACATGGTTTTAAGATGAATAGTGTTTAAAAAGCAATAGTTGGAACCATCTGTGAACCCAGATTTTGGTTGGTGAGAAAAAGTGATGTGAAACTAACAAGTTTTACAGAAATAAAATTTAGTCTCACAAACACAGAAGATGGTGCTAAATAGAATCTCTTTTAGAAAGTTGAAAAATTTACTATGAAACCATATTTATCTGAACATTACATGTTTGCACTTGCTTTTGTTTTTCACAACTTGCAGAATTAACAGTAAAAATAATTCAAGTACTTTCTATTGATTACATCAGCATATCAACCAATCAAATTACAAAATCATAAAAGCAGCAATTTACATCCTAATTAGCAGAAAAGACTGTGTAGGGAGTGGTAGTTGAAATTAAGCATGTTAGTAGCTGCTTGCAGCACAGAATAAAATGTGCCAGGCAGTGGGATAACCATATCCAGACACTAGGCAAATAAAACCAAAATAAGAGTAGAAATACAGAATAAAAAAATCACTATCAACAGAAGTTAATAAATTTTTCTGAGGTTTTCCTCATGTAGATTTTTATCGTTTTTCCTGGCTAAAACAGAAAATCCACTTTTCCTGTTTACGGGAACCCTGCAAACCATTATTTAAAAGTTTTAAATTCATTTGTACACATTTGTTTTACAATATATCTAGAAAAGAAGTTCCCTTACAAAATGCAAACATGAAAAATCCAGAATGCAGTTTATAGCAGAAATATCTCATTCACAGAAAGATGTGAAAACAATTAAGCTATAAATAAAACCAACTTTCATATACAACAGTTTTAATATGAAATTATTAAAATATAATAATTACATAGTAATAATGTTGCATTTGAAAATTAATTTTACAGCTTAAATTTTTCCATATTTAAGAGCAAGCTCTTTCTCATACAGAAATATGCATTTTAAAAATATTAAAACAGAAGTTATTAACTACTTACGCTAACTGAGTACACCATCTATTATAATTATGTTTTAAATAATGAACATGTTCAGGACATATCCCCCATATAGCAGCACATGTAAAGCTTTCTTTTCCAATTTCTTCAGCAATCACTTTCTTCATTATTTCTTCATTAGGTATATGTGAAGCATCACCTGGCTAAAATTATCAAAATATGCTGAATATTTAATATTTTAAACACATTTTAAACTTTTTCCATCCATATTTTATATTAAATTACAATAAAATATTAAATAAATTATAATTTCATACAAATTCTCCTATGTTAAATTATATAACTCCTAAATTATTACTGAATAAGTTTTTGTTTACGGATTCTTAACAAAAAAATCATTTAAATTTGAATAATAATTTAAGTAAACAAAAGAGTAATTAACAGGCATTACAGTATACTCTCTTCAGTAGTACTATATTTTCACAAATAATCTGCAACTTTCTTAGAAGTAAACCCTATAACAATATTATAGGAAGAACAAACTTCTTATTCTAACTTTCTGAAAATGGCATTTACTTAGATCATCTCATTAAATAATAAGATACATTACACTATAAGAAAAGACAATAATTCACAGATAGGCACAAAGAAACTCTCAAATTGGACAAATTTAAAGGGATGTACAGTACAATATATTTTTATATGTAAATCCTTATAATTTTTTAAGACAAAATCAATAATTTATTAACTGATCTTTGACTCATCTTAACCACATACAGCACTATATGCAAAGCCATTTGTGACCAATTTTAATTTTCTCATAACTCTATTAGATTAAAAGAGGTATCAGACCATCAGGTGATAAAAACCCAGTAGAGAACCTGTATTTTGATCTCTAATTTGAATATGGAAAGTCATTTTAATTGCTTCTTTTATTAATTTTTACTGCTATCTCATTCAACACTGATTTGTTATAATGTGCTTTTACTAATGCTAGGTAAAACAGTAATTTTCTAGAATAGACAACTGCAGTACTTTATAAGTTCTCAAACTGTCTTTAAGTGATGATAATGCGATGATGAAAACCTTAACAACAATGCTCTTTGAGAACAAGTAGAGTAATGAATCCAGACAAAATCTGCAGCTTCTAATTCAGAAAATGATGTATAAAGAGAATTTACTACATGCTTTCTTAGCAATAGTATCACAACCACCAAGAAAATTAAGAAGCAATTCGTAGAAAATGATCTGGATCAGTGGTAATCAACATGGTCTCTACCGCCAATAGTGGCATTCCAGCTTTCATGGTAGGCAGTAGGGGTTTTCTCCCATAATGAATCACTTTCCTTTTTTTTAATTTAATTGACTTTTTAAAAACATTGAAATGGAAATTTTTTAAAGTATTGTTTAAAAAATTTTCATAGCATTAATTAAAAACATTTTCACTAGGTTTTCATAAAATTCTTTAGTGTTTATATTTAAATTTCTAAAAATATACTATTTGTATCACCTGTGCATAAGTTTAGTTCACATTACATAAGTGAAATTAAATGGCACTACCACTGCCTAGCATTAGATTGGACATAGTCAGTAATTTATCTCTGGTCAGTACATAGTTAAATTTGTGAGAGTAAGCATGTGCCTACAGCTTCAAACAAAATATCTATATATATAAGCTATTGATCCCACTGTTTGTATATCTGTCACAGAATGTCTACAACATGCACTAGGAGAGTTCGAAGCCATGATTTTCAGCTATTATTTAAATTAATAGTACAGTAGAGTCCCAAATACTCATCACTTGATAACCCAGCAGTCCGGATAACTTGGCCACACCCTGGCAGGGAGAAAAAACCCCTAGTTAATTTTCATTATAGACAGCTTTATGCCTCATAAAGTATTTTTCTGAAATCTGTCTTATCAGATAAATTACTGTACACTATGTATTCATTAATTTTCATTTTCATGTAGTAAAGACTCTATGCCTTCATAAAGTACATACTTTTCCTTTGTTTAAAGGTATTTGTGCATTTTATTCTCTGTTTTATTCTCATGCAAACAATACATACAAGTACAGTATAGTATTTTCTGAGGAAACACTCGTACTTATTCTTTTTAACCCCATTCCCGATAACCTGGCATTTTCACAAACTTGGCCACCCTTTGGTCCACATTAGGCCGAGTTTTCAGGACTCTACTGTATAATTTATTTATTAACAGTATATATTATTATTTTTATTTGTAATAGGAATTTATTATTTATGTGAATTTTATTATTTATACCACAAAATGACCCCGCTGCTGCTAGAACGCCCACTAGGGGACATCCCAGGCTATCTTCTTGTGAAATATTGTGAGCCCATGTCTCAAAAAAAGAAATACGCTCATGGCTATTTGCCAGAGTATCTGAAGACAGGTTTCATAGAATCTGTTGTAAATAAACAACGTCCAATGTGTTTATTGTGTCATAAAACATTATCCAATGAGGCAATGAAGTCAAGTCGATTGCATGAACATCTTTCCACAAAGCATCCAAATGATAAGGACAAGCCCATTGAATATTTTCAGGAAATATATAAAAAATTTCAAAATCATTCAACAGTCATTGCATCATTTAAGAAACAACATGCAGCGAATGAAGATGGATTAATTGCCACTTATTGAATTTCACAATTAATTGTAAAAAGTGGTAAAAGCTACAATATTGAAGAAACTTTAATAATACCATCTATAAAAGAATTTATCTCAACAGTAATGCATCAGGATATACCTCACATTTTAAAAACGTTGCCCCCTAAGCGATAGCACAGTAAAGCGATGAAATGAAGAAATGGCAGTTAGTGAAAAAAAACTAATAAGTATTCTCCAAAACTCTTCATTTTCCATGCAATTGGATGAGTCTACTATTGCAGATGATAATGCTTTATTGATGGCATATGTACATTATTTTGATGAAAACAATACATTACGAGAAGAAATGCTATTCGCAATAAATCTTCTTACAGATACAAGAGGATTATCTATATTTAATACTGTAAAATCATACTTTACAAAAATTAATATTCCTTTGAATAATATTGTTGTATGTGCTACTGATGGAACACCATCAGTGGTAGGTCGCTATCATGGATCTATTGCTTATTTGAAGGAAAAAGTGCCAAATGTTTTATGTATTCATTGTGTGGTGCACAGACAACATCTTGTAGGAAAACATCTAAGTACAAGTCTCCATTCATCATTAACTATAAAAATTTGAACCGTAAACAAGATCAAATCCAATGCAAAAAATGACAATGTTTCAACAGCTGTGCCAGGACAATAATGAAGATTTTATTACGTTACTTTTGCACACAGAAGTTTGTGGATGTCAAAGGGTACATCTTTGGCTCGTTTTGTAGCATTATATGATAGTGTCGTGCAATTTTTTGAAAGTAATAATAAGACCAATCTGTGTCAACAGTTAAAAACAGTAAAGAATGATGCCTTTTATTTGGCAGATATTTTCAAGAGATTTAATGATGTCAATTTGCAGTTTCAAAGAGCTTATAAAACTCTTATAGGTTGCCAAAGTATTGCGTCATTATTTATTGACAAACTTGAACTATGTTATAATCTATTGAAGAGAGAATTTCATCAGTTTCCTGAATTATCATCTATAAAAGATGATGTAACTCCAGAGGATATTGACAGATTCAGTAGCCACCTCAACAAACTTAAATTGGACATGAAAAAATGATTTGAAGATTTTTTGAAATTGAAGGTGTTTATGACTGGATGAAAAATCCTTTTACCACAAATATTGAAAAGGCTGATAAACTTGCCAACAACAACTGTTAGAAATTAGATATGATGAAGAAAGTTCGATGGTGGATATAAATTCGATAGTGGTGGATATGAAAACCTATGGCAAAATAAAAAAATGCTTGTCTTATATACAAACATGCAGAAAATGATATTCAATTTATTGATACCTTTCCCTACCTCATATCTTGTGAAATCGGGCTTTAGTGCTGTTAATTGTATTATGACCAAAGAAAGAAACGCCTGAATATTTCCAAAAGAGGATTTGTTTATTCCTTACAAAAATTGAGCCAGATATCCAGTATTTAGTTTTGCAGCATCAGCCCCAGGGAACTCATTAATAATTTAATTAATTAAATGTAATTTCATCAGACTTCATGTTTCTATGTATGCAAAGTATAAACAAAAAGATAGATTTTACTACAGTAAGTTGTTTTATAAAGATTTATTCTGTCAAACTTAGCAAAAGTCTGACTTTAAAGTATTTGGTAAGTAATTATTATTATATGCATTAACTTACTGTAACTCTGCTTTATAAATTTTATAAAGTTACTTCCCTACTTTATAAATCACCATTACTGTGGAACTGGTGGCAGTTAGAAAATTTTACTACTAACAGAGATACAAAAGTGGGTGGTAGGTATAATAAGGCTGACTACCCCTGATCTAGATTATGAGAGGAGCTCTAAAGCTAAGTGGCATATTATGGAATTGATATCCCACTACCAAAGGCTTCGTCATGAGCAAAAGAAGAAACACCTATTGACTCTTGATGGGTAGATCACCAAGATGTTAAAGATCCACAGTCCTTTATTTAAAATCCAAAATTTTAATAAGATATAAATTTACATAAAACACCATATACCTAATAATATCATTGAATAAAACTTCAATATTGTTCTATTTATATTTGTATTTTAATATGTGACAATTCATGTAATGTTAAGATGACTCTGTTTAGCACTTTTGTTTAATGCTACAAGTTCTAGGAATTAGAAATATATCCTAAGAATCAATGGAATCTTACTGTATTGCTACTAACTAAAAAGCTTCAGGTTACACATTTATCTAATTTTGTGTGACTTTAATCAATTCATTATTTTTAAACTCTCTCTTTCAAAGAGCCATTGAGTTAGCTAAACAAATCATAATTAGAACTGATCAAATGCCAAACTAAAATTGTATGAAAGCTGAAACAATAAATCCTGCATTACATTGCTTTGAAAAGTTCATTGACAAAGCAAATATTAATAAAAAGTATCAATAATATAAAAGTCGTTGCACAGGTGTGTGAATTCCTTATAATTCCTGCAATTTTTGTCTAATCCAAATGAAATTTTGGTTATATTTGTTTTATGTTCTGACAGAAAGTATAGTCTACTTATTTTGTGGAAATAATAGCTATAGAATAAACGTTTTATCAATTTTGGATTGGTGATCATATTTATGTTGCAGTTACATCAGTGACCATGCAATGTACAGTACATGATTGATGAGGAAATTTCTCTTAAGTTGCATATTTAAATATTTTGACAAATGGCATATTTTAAACTCACTTCATTAAATTTAAACTTTAAAAAACAAAAAAAAAAAAAATAGCTCACTCATGTCACTTCCATAACAAGTTTTTAAATAAATCTTTTCCTAGTGACCATGTGACACACTATTATTCAATCAGATGTAATTATATAACAAGCCCCGTAATTTAGAAAGTGTTATCACTCACCTAACTAACATACATACAATTCATCTTTGTTTTTATCAACATAAAATTAAAAAGACCTACTATTTTGTTGGAAAAAAATGCCTCCAGGAAAGTGTAAGAGTAAAATTGGTCAGGTAAAATTCTAGATCTAAAAGAATATGAACTGAGACCCTGAAGGCCATGAAGTCTGACTTGAGCAACATCAATCAAGTAAGAATGGCTTTGTCAAGGGCTGCAGAAACAGCATCACATCAAGTTTGACTTGGAAGTTCTTATCAATTCTTCAATCTCTACTTTCTCATAAAAAATATTCTGTCATGCTTGACAGGATAATTTCTAGTTATCTAATAAGAAAAGAACTCAAACAATAATGTAATCACCATTAATTAGATTATAAGATCAAAAATTTGCAGTCAGAAGATAAAATTTTGATTTTTACCATATGAAAAAATTCCATATAAATAATTCCGTTTCAATTGACTACTTGAAATTTTATTCTGACAAATGTTTTCATTTTTTTCAGAAGACTAAACTCAATTCATCAATGTACATCATTATAAACTTGAGCATTTCAATTTGGGAGTAAAACAAAAAAATCATCTCTCTTATTTTTCTACTTATCAATATTAACAAACTTTTCTCATTAAGTTTTCAGGCAATGGTGATTCGATCCATCAATTACATCAGAATTCATATGAACAAATTAGCATAAGTTCTTTGTATACTGCAAGCATAAAAACATGTTTATCTCTCTGTAGTAAAGAAGTGCAATATAGCAATTGATATCTTTCTTTGACATTCTTCACTTCGTCAACAGGAAATCTAGTGTCACTTCATAGCCTTCTTAGAGTTCTTACTATTATTACTATTTTCACATATGCTTTTTATTATTATTGTTGCTCTACATAAATACTAGAGCTACTATTTTACTGTCTTTGAAATAAAATGTCAGCCTATTTTTTTCCTGTTTCCAACACATAAGTAAAAAACTGTCAATATTGTTTGTAGAAACAAATAATTTTATTCACTTTCACCTAACTTTTTCAGGTACCATTGTGTTTACCTTGCAGTATGCTCAGATTAAGATTTCTATTTTGAAAATGAATGCTTAGCACATAAAAATGTTAATTGAAAAAAAAATTTCTAGAAAACAATGTTCATAAAATTTTTTGAGATGTTGCTTTTTAACTCTTATTTCTATTGTATTATTCAGTCTATATCATGTCTGCATTGTTCATTAAATGAAATCTCCTTTCATTTATGATAAGAATGCTTGGATTTATTGATCCCACCTTAGTTTTTCCTGCACATTCCATTTACAATATTTGAGTTTCTAAGCTTTTCAGGTAGATAAGAAAATTTGCTATTGGAAATTTTTTTATATTCAACTTCATACTTTCAATTACAATCAGTTCAATGCTTTCTCAATACTCTTAGAGCAAAGAGCAGAACATCACTATCTTCATATTAACAATGAAAAATAAATTATATTAATACAAAAATTTCAAGCAAATATATTTTGTTTATGAATACACTTGTGTTCAAAGACAATAAAATTGTTTTTATATAATACTGTAATCCTCACTGAAATTAACATTTCTTATATCAGTTCACAGTTTTGAAAATTTTATTAATTCTTTTTATAAAGTTTTTACATCTATCTTTTCAAAATTTGTATTTTCAAATATATATTTATTGTACATAATTATTTAAACTAAATTTAGTACATAATTATGTATGATATGAGTTTAGAATAATGTTTCAGATTACACTAGCATAAAACTTTGTTCTAAATTTCTTTTTGGGTGTTATTAATTTCAATTATGTATGTAAAAAATTTCTAATATGTTTTTATTAATATTTTTAGAGACTATAACTTTCAAAAAAATTCTGTGTTAAATTTTTCTAAAATGCAATTTATTAATTATTTATTTTTCTAATAAAAGACTACATACTTTACGATTACGAATAACTCCACTATAAACAAATTCCTTATTTTTTTCTTTTTTCTCAAATTCTTCTTTTGATATGCATAGCTCATGTACGTCTTTGGAATCTTTTGGTTTTGTAATCATCTGTAAAATAAGAATCATAAACATACTTTCAATCATAACCAAATTAATGTGCTAATAATAAAAGAAATATATTAGTCTAGAATATTATATAAATAAATTGAACTAGTTAATAAAATATTTAAATATATCTCATGTTATATACAGAAGTTAAGATAATTAGCAAATTTATTTTTGACATTCATCTTAATTGTTATAAATATGTATATTACTCAGAGTATGTAATAAGAATATCATACACTGATATCTCACATTACTTTAAACTCTTCCCATCTAGTGAGACCACTATCTGTCAAAAACATAGGGTAAGCAAAGTCCTTAAAACTTTAAACGTTCATAAAAAAACCCAGCAATGAGTAGCTTAACTTTACTGATAACATTTAAAACTTGTGTGGGACCATCTGTTATGATATTTCATTACAAACTTTTTATATTTTTAATTATTATAAAATGACAAAAGACTTAATTTTAAGGGCAAGAATAAGTTTTATAAAAAAAACTACTCAAGATACAAAAATACAACACACACAACCTCTCTTTATCTTCCCACCTTATTGACCTTTAACCACCAAAATTTAATAGTATGAATACCCCTAATATACAAACCTCCCTGCAAAATTTCTTTTGCAAATTTTTGAATTTTTCAATGTTTCAAGGTTCCAAGTCCAAAAATATAAAAATCTTGGAGGTCATTTTTTGACCAATCACTATACTTTCCCTCTATATATAACAGAGCTGAGAAAGTAAAAATGAAAGAATTATCAAAATGAAATGAGGTTTGCAAGAAAGTATTGTTAGCATGGGTGGTTTTTGTTGACAGGAGAAAAAAATTAGCTCCAAAAATCATTGACAGATGGCATTCACATAAAAAAGACCATGAATAGACATGAAAACGACAATGAAAATTAATTTCAACATGATTTCTGAGTGTGAGGTTAAATTTCCAAGTGTTTCTATCAGGTTTTTCCAAATTGCTGGAATTGAAAAATGTTATTCACCTTGAAGTAACATCCATCCATCCATACATGCTGCACTCTGCAGTTGCAAGTGTTGTTACTCAGCTAAACTTTGTTATAACCTGTGGTGAAAGCCATGTCAAACAGCTATAATAAACACATTGAAAATCATCTTCATTGATATTTGCATTTCTTTTATATGTCAACACCATCTATTGGTGATTTTTGGAACTAATTTTTCCTTTTCGACAAAAACCCATACTGACAATACTTACCATGCACATGGCATTTCATTTTGATAAATTTTTCTATTTTTTATGAATGTTTACAGTTTTTACAGACTTTTTGCCCATCCTATACTAAAGTATGTTTCTAAGCAAAGTATTAGAATTTAGAATTTCAATTTTTGATGATATCTGTATAAAATTAAAATTATGATTAATATTTACATGTACAGGAAATCCTTGTTAGTTCGAAATTCAAGAGATAATATAATTGTAACTTCAAATTATTGAGTTTTGAATTATCCAAAATTTACATATTTCTGTACAATATGCCAAATGCCTTGTAATTGATGTTATTTATTAAGGAAATGGAATACTACATATGCAAAATGCTATTTTTGTTAATTAATAATTAATAATAATAATATGAATAAATTGCAAATAAACAGCACATGTCCAATGAGAACCTCAAAAGTTGCCAGACAGATTTTATAAAAAGTAAAGCAGAATTCCTCAAAATGTAGCCAAAATTATTTTTAAAATGGCCCAAAAAGTAGTAAGTCACCCAATAGTAGTAGCTTAGAGTCCTACAAATACTCAATCTGCCACTTGTAAGCCAATCTTGCAATCCCGAAAATCAGCCATATTTTATGAGTTATGAGAAAAAACAGTAATCCATGTGTAAGATGACACCTGAAAAATTATTAATGTTTTAGCAAAATTATATTGACCAGATTAGAGTAGTTCTTGGTCTATTGTTCTCTTATAGCATGATGACACTTTGATCTAAATAAAAAGTTAGTATTCACATACAGAATTTTTACTTCAAATGTTGTAGTAGTCATATTTCGAACTAACCAAATTCCTTAACAAGTAAATCTGTATATCCCCAGCAAGGATAAAAAGTATAGTTATGAACTATTGGGATTTCAACTATCTGAGTTTGAATTAACAAGAATTTCCTGTAATAATTTCATATGATAATCAGAAAATTCTTATAATCATTAAATTCAATATCAATCTAAGTATAGTCCAGTAAGAAATTTTACAATTTTTATCATTCAGCATTTAGTACTAACTTGATTGTTAAAACTAAATAATTTTAAGTTTTTGAAATTACTTATGGAGAATTCTATCTTGATGAATTTAGAGCCATTATATGACAATCAGAAAAGTAAATGTTAGAAATAAACACTTTACCATCCTTTATTTATATTACTTTTTATTTCTCACATTATAATTAAAAACTATAAAACATTTATTTATATTAAAGTACTGAGTGATCATAATTAAAGTACCCCTATTTGATGCTGTCTGGAGAAATATTTTGCAGTCCAAATGCAATAAAATTTGATATAGTGACTTGATGGTCAGAGCATGAGGAGGATATTTCTGTTAAAAAAAAAATGTGATACCAAAACTCATCACTATGCCACTTTCGACATTGCACATAACAAGAATTTCATTTGAACAAGACTCATGCTATACAGAGACCTTAGAAATGTAGGATATACTGTTAAATGTGATCCCCATTCTGAAAGTGTAAACCTGAAAGTGGTGAACAGTATGTTCAATGAACAACCATAACAGATTCCCTGTGATGCTTCTCATATACAGCTTGATACTGTTTTTCAAGTGTTCCAACAGCCAAAAATGTTTGCAGTACCAAAAATGCCACAATGGTAAATTTTGGTACTACTATGTTTTTTACAGAAATATCTTCATGTCCTGAAATGTCACTATACCAGATTTGGTTTCATTTGAACTAATAAATATTCCTCTAGATAGTGTTAAATGGAAATACTCTAATGATGATCACTCAATATTTGTCTTCTTCACTAAATGTTTTTAGTTAAAGATTATATAAAAATAACAGTATAAGGTTTTAAGTAGAAATTTTTGGCATACTCTAGTGGCTTGGCCTATAAAAAATATTGCTTGCTTTCCACCAACACCAAAATAGGATATTTCACTATTTAAAGACCGTGGCATGAGTGGATTTGTGACAAAATTCTTTGTTTCTGGTTTCCTAAAAAAGAAAAATATAATCAGTTTAATAAACATTAATATATTAATAATCATAATAATCAGTTTCTATAAATTCAGAACATACTGTGAGGACCACCATTTTCTTTAAATTTGTTTTGTTATTTTATATCAGCAGTTCCCAACCTTTTTTCATTAGTGTACTCCCGTGGCATTTCCAACTTCCCAACCAGCAACACATGTGCATTTCTTGCACTGCCTGTTTGTAGACAGTGTCACCACTTTAAATTTTATTTTGACTCTGTTCCAGTCCCCTGAGTACCTACAAGTCTGTTTTTTTTATGCGCACATGATTTGGGCACCTAATACTCTGTGCCAAATTGCAACTTCTGACATGTACTCCTTCATACCTCTAAGCTGGTAACACAGCAGGCAGTGCAATTTTATAAACAAGACATAGTCTTGTCAATAAAAAATTAATAAAAATACTGAATAAATAATGAAAAAAATTACTGCTTGTAGAGAAAATCTGAATAAACTAGCTATGTTCTTTTCCTTGCTAACAATAAAAAATACTTTTTTCAAACAACACATGGTAATATTGTTGAGATAATAATAATAATGGTAACATACCACACCATCAAAAGTCCATAGCATAATCACTAATCACACATAATGGCATCCCAACTACCATTGACTGACTGTGAAACATTTATTGAACAACAGATCAATAAATGTTGCATTGTACAATCGGCAGCATAAGTTTTTATTTCTATTTTTGCATTTTGAAATGTATAATAAAGTTTGTGATTATTGCAAGGAACATTTTTTACCTAATAATTTTTTATTATTATTCATTTGTGATACATAATATATTATTTTTTCTGCCATAATAACTAACTTCTTTCTGTACCCCTAAACAACTTATCGCATACCCCGGGTTGGGAATCGCTGTTTTATATAATTATATATATATATGGATATATATACCCATTTTTGTTCTGTCTTTTTGTTTATCAAACAATCGTTAGCTACAAGACAAAAAACCCTTTCCATCCACTCAGCTACAATGGGTGAATATGACACCATAATTGTTTTCTTTATCAAATAGTATTGTAATGAAATTTTACCTATTTTCCCAATTTTAAAGCTCTCCCTTCTAAATTTTTAGCAATATATATTAAAAATAATTGATAGAAACAAGTAAAAATATAAAAAATTATCTGCAAAACTTCACAATATTCAGAGGAAAAGACAAAGGAGATGACTCTTGTTTTTCCCTTTTCAACTAGTGTTAAGTAACAGTTGTTACCTTATCCACATCACGTGAATACACATAATTCATCCTAGGCAAGAGAAGGATTAAAAATAACCCATCAAGTTTATTGATTGTTTCATCTACTTCCTCTGGAATAAAATCATGAGTGGTCAGAAAAAAGAATAAAACAAGAGGAAGGTAAAAAAAAATGACAGAGAAGTGAAGAGAAAAGAGGCAACACACAAAACAGAGAAGGATTAACATTAAAAAAGAGAATCAACTCAGAGAAAAGAAGAGTCAACATCAAAAACAGAGATTCAACATGACAGAAAACTCACAGCAGACAGAAGTGTGTCAACTTTGGAAGAAAGAGACAGAGAAAGAAAAAAAAGAAAAAGGTGCAAGAGTGAAAAAATAAAAAGAAACTGAAGAAAAGACAAACATCTTTCTAATATGTTGTGAGTAGAGAATTTTGGATTATCCTTCCTAGTTATGCACCCCCTAAATCTAACAGTACCTAAATAGGTTAAGTTCTGAAGATAAGCTTTGTTCATAATGTCATGTTTTATTTTTGCAATAAATTTCCCTTTCTCATTTCTATGTTGGTATCATTGATTTTACATTTTCTTCCTGAGTCCATTCCTGGACTTTGAAGTGACTCTTATACCCTCATACCTTACAAAATTCAATCTTATCAAGAATCCAATTGGAAATGTATCTGATAATATAAACCTGGTAACAGGACCAAAAAAAGCTGGGTCTTTATTTTGAAAGCCCAATTTCCAAAATAGTCTAAGCAACTTATTAACACAATATATTTTTGAAGTTTTTGAATCTGTATTTTAATAAAATCAAATACTACAAAAAATTTGGCAGTATGTAAATTATGATGATTTGAAATAGATCTAGCCTTGATTATATAGTTAAAAATTTCATCTGTGTGAATTTTTAATATAATTAAATATTAAATAAAATTTTATAATAATTAAAATAAGTAACTTACTGAATTGATCTAAATGTCTTATCTGTACGGATAAATTTAGAGAGTCTATATACAGCCCAGTTATTTAATTCCCAAGAACTCATTCCACAACCATTATCAATAACAAATATAAAACTCTTCTCTGCAGAGCTATCATCTAATACCTAAAATATTTAATAATATAAAGATTAATAAATGTAAAATGAATACATTAATAAAATACATAATTTTTAAAAATTCATATAGCAATTCCAATTTAAAGTTTTTATACTATTAAATATATATATATATATATATTCAAAGTTAAATAGCATCCTAGAAGTTAATAAGTTCGAAAAATTGTCATCCAGTTTAAAGTTTAAAAAATAGAATTTACATAACTGTAAAATTATTAGTATTTATTATTATTATTGTGTTGGGTTTAGTGAATTACTCGGTTCACACTGGTGGCTGTGTACTATGCCGGACCAGAGTCAAGGCATAGCAACCAAAAACTAAAATTAAATAAATGTGTCAGTGTCTGAATTCAGGAATTTCCTAACAATGTGGCATGTATTCAATATAGTGGCCTACTGTAGTGTTATGTATGTATTTCTACTCAATTCTAATGTTCCCAGGCTTTTGTGTAGTGTGTGTGGTATCACACCTGTACAGGAGAGAACAACAGGTACAATAACTACCCTATCCATCCTCCACAGATGCCTTATTTCCTGGGTGAGTTCTGTGTACTTGCTAATTTTTTCAGTGCATGTGTTTTGTACATTGTGAGTGTTTGGAATGGCTATGTCTNAAACAAGAATATAAACTCATACAGAATGTGGATAAACGAGAGACAGAACTACTACAAATACTATACAAATCGGACGATAGCTATACTTATCTTCAACCCAATTCGCGATCGAGAGAGAGAGCTCACAAAATCGTTATTAAACATACAATCTGATTCAGTGGTCGTTCGTCTTCTTCTCTGTAGGTAAGGGACACCTTGTAGATAAAGTTCATTTACTTCTTCGGATGGGAGATCAATATGTGCACAAAACCAAAGTATATTTTCTAAGTGCAGACTCTGGACTTATTCTAAGTGACTCGTCTAAGGGCGTTGGTCATCAGGAGGAAAATGTATGTGGAGTTTGGACGCTTTCAGATCTGTCGCTCAACTCCCCGAATTCTGACAAGTTCCCTGTATATCTTCGGAATACCGACCAATCATCGGCCAGTAACTCTTTCGTGAGAACGGATGAAAGGGGAATGAATGAGGGGTAACCATTTCCCATCTGAGCAGGATTTTAACCAGATAAGGGAAAGTCAGAGGATGTACTAACTTCAGTGAAAGGAAGTGACATCTGTTATCTGCCTATTCCCACGTTAAAACAGTATTTTTCTCACCAAAAATGAAGTAATATTTGGTGACATTATTTTATAAAAATTATTAAATTGGACCCAGGGCCTTTCGGGTCTCACAATAATTGTTACTTGTAAATGACAAGCAGTGCCGGCCCGAGGCAAGTTTTAGAATAGAGCGAGATCCTATTATAGCGCCCACCTTGGTTGCCCCTAATTTATACCCTTTAATTTTCTTTACCACTGAGGCGCCCCCTAGGACTTAGCGTCTGGAGCGGCTGCTCCGTTCGCCCTATGGTAGGGCCGGCTCTGCGCCTAATGAATATCTCATTTGTTTGTATGGAAGTGTTACTAACCCTGAGATGCAGTGTTGTTCTCCAGTGCTGCATAGTGTTTTCGAAGAATGCAATGAGTGATGGATGTATTTTGTACATGTGTAGAATATGTAGCAGCCAACTGTGTGGAACACTGTCGAATGCTTTTATTATTATTATTATTATTATTATTATTATTATTATGTGTTGGGTTTGGTGGGTTATCCTCGGTACACACCGGTGGATGTGTACTATGCCGGACAAGAGTCAAGGCATAGCAACCAAAACAAAACTAAACTTAAATGTGTGTGTCAGTGTCTGTATTAAGGAATTTCCTAACAATATGGCATGTATTCAATATAGTGGCCTTCTGTAGTGTGATGTATGTATTNACATATGATTGCATAATATATAAAATGTTATTTACAGAAAAAATACAGCACATATTCAATAAAAAAATATAGAATTCTAATATATACAAGCAAAAGAATATAGAAAATTTTTTTAAATAAAAAGAAAGCGAATAACAATAAAGAATAATGATTTTTTCATACATATCATTTATAATTTTATTAAAAACTAGTGTTGTAACGAATAGTATATTCAGCCTCAGGCCGAATACCGAATATTCGGCCAGGAGCGTGGCCGAATAGCCGAATATTCAGCCAAACTATTCGGTTTGATTAACGCACATATGAAAATTGGCACGCAAACCTCATTATGGCAAGGACCCTGATTTCTATTGGCCCCCTGCTGTCACTATGCTTCGCTAATAGCGTTAATTCTTAACAGTTGGTAGACAATAGCGTCATGGCAGTATGCAATAAATGATGATATCAAATGTGAATAACAATGAAATGACCTACACGTGTAAATAACAGAAAAAGAACAGAGAAGGACGGCGAAGTGAAAATGTGAAAATAAATATGAAGTTGAGTCGATAACATAATCAAACAAGTCGAAGCAGCTTATTGGCGCAAAATTTGCGGCCGTCAATGCCAAACAATTGTTGTCATAGACTTCGGAAAGCTAAATGCTTGTAATAAAAGTCACTTAGCATGCATGGGTGAAAGCCTGGGAATGTTCGGGCTACCGAGCTGTCTCGAATCTGTGAAATCATAACTGTGACATATACCGACATCTTATCTGTCTCTTTTCTCCGTTATCATCAAGCTATGAGCCACATAATTATAAAATGGAAAAACTACGACGGAAAAGTGACGAATTGAAAGTATCGTGAGCACGTATTATGATGTATGCATAGTCATACGTGGACTAGAGAGATGGAGGAAAGAGAAAGAAATGAGCAAAGACGAGCGCTTAAAAAGGATAAACAGGGTCAGACCATCACGTGTGCGATGATTCTCGAACGAATAGGTGTGTATGTGTGCTGATCTTTTGTAATTATAAATTGTGAATACATGTGACTAACTATATTACACTCACTCAGCACTTGCTTGTAAACTCAAAAAAACATAACACCTTAATTTGCTGAGAAAACTTTTAATGAAAAGCTAACGTTTTCAGCCAACTCTATTGGCCATCATCAGGCTAAGCTTTTTCGAATACAAAGAAAATAGAACAAAAATTTTAAATACAAAAAACAAAATAACGAACGAAATATATATATATAAATAAATGTATAAATAAAATAAATAAAATAAAAACTCCTATTATAAAATATGTATATGATAAATAAGCATAGGATAATTAAACATTAAAAAACGTAACACAATAATACATTATGCTAAATTCTATAAACCGCAAGATATGCAAAAAAACACTAAAAACAAGGCATTAAGATCTGTCCATTCGCTTGATTAAGTATTTCCAGGCGGAAGGCAACCCTTCAGCATCCCTAGAATTAATGCATTTATCATGTAATCTGCTCCTGTATATTTCAATCTTTTCTGCGCAAATCGCCAAAGTTGGTGAATGTACTGGTTTAATAATACTTGCTTCGTCCCATTTGACGATTGAGCCCTCAACTTGCGCCATTTGCGATAGTATTGTGGCGTTAGATCCCTTACTGATATTGTACTTGTGTTCTTTTAATCTGACTCCTAAATTTCTGTTAGTGACACCAATATAATTTTTATTAATGTCTAGTTCACGATTTTCATATGGAATCTTGTATACACCTGCTCTTTTTTCTTTATCTATGCTGTCTTTGTCATTCCTTAATAATCTGTACAGATTAGGAGCTCTCTTGNAGGTGTATACAAGATTCCATATGAAAATCGTGAACTAGACATTAATAAAAATTATATTGGTGTCACTAACAGAAATTTAGGAGTCAGATTAAAAGAGCACAAGTACAATATCAGTAAGGGATCTAACGCCACAATACTATCGCAAATGGCGCAAGTTGAGGGCTCAATCGTCAAATGGGACGAAGCAAGTATTATTAAACCAGTACATTCACCAACTTTGGCGATTTGCGCAGAAAAGATTGAAATATACAGGAGCAGATTACATGATACATGCATTAATTCTAGGGATGCTGAAGGGTTGCCTTCCGCCTGGAAGTACTTAATCAAGCGAATGGACAGATCTTAATGCCTTGTTTTTAGTGTTTTTTTGCATATCTAAGATATCAGATTGCATATCATATATTGCGGTTTATAGAATTTAGCATAATGTATTATTGTGTTACGTTTTTTAATGTTTAATTATCCTATGCTTATTTATCATATACATATTTTATAATAGGATTTTTTATTTTATTTATTTTATTTATACATTTATTTATATATATATATTTCGTTCGTTATTTTGTTTTTTGTATTTAAAATTTGTGTTCTATTTTCTTTGTATTCGAAAAAGCTTAGCCTGATGATGGCCAATAGAGTTGGCTGAAAACGTTAGCTTTTCATTAAAAGTTTTCTCAGCAAATTAAGGTGTTATGTTTTTTTGAGTTTACATGTGACTAATATTATTATTTTCTTTTTTATTTTGTGCATGTTATAGTTATAAATAAATATAAACAAACAACACTAACCCCACAACATTAAATCTAAATTCCAAAATGATTAATTTACTGTGTTTTTGTTATTTCTTATTCCTGTTTTTAGGTATTCGGTATTCGGCCGAATAGCAAAAAATAGGCCGAATACCAAATAGTAACCGAATATTCATTACATCACTATTAAAAACCATTACTATTTTATCCCCTGAAATGTGTGTGTCTAGAGTTAATGATTCTGTGCTATAAATTCCTGGTAGAATTTTCTTCTGTGAAATATAAGAATATAAGCTAAATCCAAGATGGAATAACTGGCTTTAGGTATCAGACCAATAGTTAAAGATATCCAAGAAATGTATTGTGTCATAAATGATTTCAATATTGCTGTATTTAGCTTCACATCTCCATTGGACAGTCTATAGATATTAGCCACTTATTTCCATCATATTTCTATTCAAAAGTGTAGTATACAACTGGATAACAAAGTTGATACAATTAAAATTCCTGCAAGAAGTTTATTACAACAAAAATATTTTTAATCAGACTGACTTGTCTTCTTCAGTTATAGAACATTCAAATGTACTGTACAGTTGTAACATTCAAGAATGAAAGAAAAAATGTAAATAATTAATGTAAAAAGACATAATATATAAAGTGTGAAAAAAATAGAATACAAAGGAACATAAGATTAAAAATTTGATATAACAATGAATATAAACATATTTTCATAAAAAATAAAAAATGATAAATAATAATGTAATAAATAATGTAATAAAACAGAACTAAGTAAAGTTTATAAAGTGACCACCATGCATTGGAAAGCATGTTGATATTGATTCATGTGAACTTCTTATTAGCCTTATAACTCTCCAGTTTTTCTAGGTAGTTGAGTGTGTTGATATTAGGAGTGTTTAATATAACCTAGAAAAATTGGAGAGTAATAAGGCTAATAAGAAGTCCACATGCATCAATAATCGAGATACTGACATGCTTTCCAATGTATGGTGGTCACTTTATGAACTATAATTGGTTCTATTTTATTAAATTATTATTTTGTGACCGAAGGGTCAGCACTGCACAGCGCTATGTCAGGACTAACACCATTAAGAGTGTTGTTTTACACATGAGCATACAAGTTTTGTTGCCTCTTTGCGAACGGTTGTGTACATAAGTAGTCAGATTCAAGATGGAGGTGATCTAAGAGATTACGTACTTGAAAGAAGTGCACTCTACTACTCATTTATTTACATATAGGATTTACATATATATAAATATATATATATGATAGGAAAATTATAATAGCAAGTCCCCAACCATGAGAGAGAAAGTTTACAAATGATTGCGAACTGATAAATACCTGAAGTTGTAGGTCTTTTGAGGAGGTCATATACTTGCAGGTTGGAGAGGGTGGACTTGTCCCATATAATGATGAAATTGACACCTGGCGGGTAGGATTTGGTCACTGGCAGCAATCGGTGGCAATGACTAGATAAGCAGCAGAGTGGATCAATTCTTGTTGAATATTGAGGCTAATTGCAACTCTCAATGATGACAAACTGCTCTGTTGTCATCAATTTTTTTTCTTTTATTTGGGGGTCCTCCCCCTTAATTCTCATGCCCATTTTTTGGTAAGGTTAAGTTTTATGTCCAATAGATGATTTTTTGAGTGTTAGGTTCCTGATGAACTCATTCAGATGATGTGTCATGTTTGCAAAGAAAGCAAATCCGTGGGAAATACAATCATTTCCTGTTATTGTTGGTGAGAGTTAAAATTTTAACAATTAGATGTGAAATAAAAATCTATAGTCCCCTTTTTGAGTAAATTTTCTCTGTTTAGCCCTGATTCTCACAATTTCATATTTATTTATCATTTTTTATTTTTTATGCAAATACGTTTATATTCATTGTTACTTTCATATCTTAAATTTTTAATCTTATGTTTCTTTGTATTTAAACTTTATGTATTATTTTTTTACATTTTATATACAGTAGAACCTCGAAAACTCGGCTCTCGATAACCCGGCACTCCGGATAACTCGGCCACACCCTAGCAGGGCAAAAACATCCTTAGTTAATTAATTTTCATTATAGACAGCTTTATAAAAGTATAAAAGCTCTCATAAAGTATTTTTCTGAGGTCTGTCTTATCAGGTAAATTACTGTACACAGTGTATTCATTAATTTTCATTTTCATGTAGTAAAGGCTCTATGCCTTCATAAAGTACGTACTTTTCCTTTGTTTAAGGGTATTTGGGCAGTTTATTCTCTGTTGTATTCTCAAGCAGACAATACATACAAGTACAGTACAGCATTTTCTGAGGAAACACGCATACTTATCCTTTTTTAACCCCATTCCCGATAACCCGGCATTTTCAAACTCGGCCACCCTTCGGTCCACATTAGGCCGAGTTTTCGAGGTTCTACTGTATTATGTATGTGACTTCAGAGTCGGCACCACATTAGGATGATACCACTCTAAAAACACAGAAATTGCAATAGCGAAAACATTCACACACAAGCAGTCACATTCATAGGCAGTCAGATCCAGGATGAAGGCGGTTCAAGAGACAAGATGTCTCAAGGAAGTGCACAAAACCATTGATTTACAAAGAGGAATGATACATATTATTTAGGATTTGTAAGGGATTTTGTATATTATAACTATTGGCTATTATTTTTGCATAACTACAGGCTATTATAACTATCTTTGCAAGTCTTAGAGAGAGAGTCTACATAGGTTTGCAGGTAGATAAATACCTTGTAGAAATCGTTGCAGTCGTTCCTTCATTGTCTGTGGATTAGAGGATTTAACGAGTCAATGATTCGGAAGATTTTGATTGAAGACCTTTGGTAACAGGTAATGGGATTGTTCAGGTATAACTATTGGCTATTATTTTAACAGGAGTGTCGTCAGATGGAAGGAAAATCACTAGGGGATGAGTAGATGGCAATGTTCAATGTGGGTAAGGTATCAAGATCTGACACGAACTCTAGAGAAGACAAACTTCCGATGACGATGGACTCTATGTGACAGATGAACTCTCGTATCATCATCGGACATTGCCTTTTATTTGGAGGTCCTCTCCTCTTTCTTCTCGTATCCTTTTTTTGGTAATGTTTTGTTCTATGGCCCAATGGTGATTTTTTCTGTTAAGTTACAGGTGATGCATTCAATGTGACATTTTGAAAAGGACGTGACTCCGGAAAGAAAGATGCAATCATATTCTTTACATTTAATAATCATAGGAAAAGTTTTAACAAAATCAACGAAAAATTTTAGTCAACAATTTATCATCAACTCTGGGCTCTCACATGTACTTTTACTTTAGTTATTTACATTTTTTTTCTTCCATTCTTTAATATTACAACTGTACATTTGAATGTTCTATAACTAAAGAAGATCAGTCAATCTGATTGAAAATGTTTTTGTTGTAATAAATTTTCTGCTGAAATTTCAAAAGTTCAATTTTAATTGCATCAATAGTTCTATTCCTTAATGCAATTTGTTTTGTTAAATTTGAATAATCTTTCAAAAGTACCTGCTGTCTTTTTCCAAAGATTTTTGTAATAATCTCTCTCTTTTCTTCAAAAATGTTTGTGAGAAATGATTATAGCACTGAAGAAATATTTTTCCTTATATTCATTTATACAATTTCTTTCATTGGATTAGTATGGCAGAGACAGAAAAAGATGAAGTCAGGTATAAAACTTTGCAGACCAGTGTGCAGCCAGAGAGGGAACCAAAAGGCCCAGGCACCTCCCCAAAAGAAAGAAGAAACACTAGAAAGTTTTTCCAAAAATCTTTTCGTAATTAAAATTCCTATTTTTTTTTGGATTGTGTCATATCTTCAATTTCTATACTACTTACGAATTAGCAGTCACATAGGGTGAGAATTTTACTGAATCTGCATGAAAAAGTTTTTTTTATCTGTTCAACTTGGCTCCCCCAAGATTGAATCCTGAATTCACTACTGTTATAGACTACCTTTCTTCTTTTTGTATGATAGCAATATGCCTATGAATAGATAAACTATTAAATATTTTCTATGAACTTGGATATATTCTCTTGCTCAGTGTTTATTATAGTCTTATAAAAGTTGTTTTTGTAATTGTACTTAAAAATTTTCAGTTTTTCTTGTTTATTAATTATGTTTGTTTTGTAGTTCTTAAAATTTTTTTTAAATTATTTTGTTTTTAATCTATTAAAAGTAATACCAAAACCAGTTCTTCTTGTTTTTATATCAAAGTTTAATATTTCTCATTCTTTTCCTTTGTTCTTAAAAGTCCTTAAGAAAGAACTTTGTTCTTAAAGTATCAATAGAAAGAAATTTTTGATTGATTGTTACTATCATTATTAATACTTAAAAAATTAATTAATATGATTTTTACATTTAAAAATGTTACATAATTTGAAAACTAAAAATACTTACGTAAAGGATTTTGACCTTCTGATGCATAATATTCATACATTCCACTTTTAACAAGTGTGTCATAATGAGGTAAATATTCAACTTTTTGCTCAGTTTGTGCAGGTAAATCTTGATCAATTTCAGAAAGAACATAAAGTGTATCTTTATTTTCCAAAAATCCTAAAATTAAAAATTGCTATTTAATTTTAATGATAATGAAATATCAATAAATATATGAGTCTCTATCAAATAAAATACATACATGTAACAAATAGTTCTTCTCTTATAATAGTTAATGATTTTGAACAAACAAATATAATATGTAATTTATATGAAAAGTTTCAAATTCAGACTTAAATCCATTTCAAACATATTTGATCTCCATTTTTCTATTAAATCTGACATTGTATTTTGCCCTTAACATAGCATTACCAAATTTTAGAGCTTATATTTTTATTAAGTGAATTTAATAGCAACAAATCTTCCTTCTTGCTCCATTCTTAATTATTTATATTTAAACGTCAAAAAACTATGGTCTTCTTCAAGGAGTCATTTCTGTTTATGAGATAAGCCCACCACATCAACAACAACACTAAATAATTTGTATGGGTCAAACAACCATGATTTACATGACTTGCATGTAAATCACAATGTATTTAAGAAATAAATGGATAAATGGTTTGTTTGTTTGTTAAGTTATGGCAATGCAACACTTGGGCAATCTGCCTAGGGGGATGCCTCCCGGGAGATTTTTTTTTTTTTAAGGGAAACTGGCCCCTATTTAGGCATTACAGACGTGGAGAAAACCAGGAAAACTCCAGATGGCCAGCCTGTCTGAGTGAGGCACAAACCCACAAATGAACTCCCAGTGTTCAGGGTATGAAGACCGCTTGGCCACTGGTGGGCCAAAAGTTACTTGGACAAGAGGGAAAGTTATGCTGCATCAGATAGTGACTATGAACCTTGAGATCATATTTATGTTGATTGAAATTATCAGATGTTTATGCAATATTGGTAATCAGATTCTTTATCTGCAATTGAGATAATATAGTACAGTGGAACCTCACTTAATGAACATAATTTGTTTCAAAATCTTACTTGTAATACGAAACACTTGTTAAGCGAAACAATTTTTCCCATATAAATTAATGTAAAATACAATAATGCATTCCATGTCAAAAAAATACTCAAATATTTTATGTATAATGTTTATTCAAAGGAAATTATACAATATACATTGTTAAGGAGCGTAAACCATCATCATCTTTTCTTCTAATGAAAAATGAACCAACCTGGAATTACAGTAGAGCGTCGATTTTCCGAAAGTCAATCATCCGAAACGTCAATCATCCAAAAGATTTCCAGTAGGCAAATTTAAATTTTTGCCAGTGCTGTGGAGCTTCAATCTTTGGCTATGTCTTGAGCTACTCAAATATTTTATGTTTTTGATACTAAATTAACATCTGAAATATAATTTTTTATTGTTTTTATATTTTTCAATATATTTATTTTGTTTGTACAAAATAAAAAAATAATTTTTAACGATACAATAGTCTTTGTTAGGCTTAACATCGATGAAAATTCAACGCAAAGCGACATGCAACGGAGAAAAATTTCAACATCGGATACGTTAAACTATTTTTTCGTACATAAATCGGTTATCCGAAATATCAGTTATACGAACAACCCCAGTCCCCAATTGATTCGGAAAATCGACGCTCTACTGTATATTTGCAGAAAACAAAAAAAAAAGAAAATCTGAATTTAATTTGGAATTGGTCATTAAATTTAATACAAGATGGTAGCATAACTGCCTACCTCTAGTCAAATTAATTATTTCTAATATTTAATTATAGCCTTAACATAGCCCAAGAATTTGGCATATCATTTGGTGTGTTTATTATATAACAAACTATTGTTGTTGATGTTTATATGTAATATGTCTGAACACGAGTTTGGAAAATTGTGTGATCACAAGCGACACTAAGATGCTAGCGAAACGAGTGCTAAACACAAACTGATGGAGTATGCGCACAATCCAGGACTTCCCCTCTTCTTGTCACTTGTTATGCAAAATGTTGCTCATTAAGCAAGTAATTTTTTTACAATTTGTTTTGCCCATTATGCAAATTACTTGTTACAACAGGTACTCATTAAGTGAGGTTCCACCATAAATGTAATCTGAGAAACAGAGAGAATAAGCAGATGAAAAATTATTCCAGAAGTCAATCTCTATAATTCTCAAATGCTTGGTAACAGTTAAAAAATCTGGTCAAAGGAACAGGTGATTTGACTGTCCATCAAAAAAGTTTGAAGACTTGGTCCAGAGAAGGAGCTTGAGAAAAATTTGAGGGATCATCAAAAGAAAAAGAAAAAAGAAAAGAGGCAGTTAAAAGCCCAAAAACTGAAATCCTCATCTTTGCAGCCTACCAAAATCTTTGAGATCACTGAAAGAAATCCTCACCAATTCACAAAGTATCCACCATATCTGAGATATTTTCATCAAAATCTCAAAGCTGGGTATTTATGATCGAAAACACTTAAACCCTTGTGTCCTAAATCTCTCTCTTTATCAACTAAATTAGAGTTTACATTTAACTGCATAAATTGTGAATTGAACAAATTCATAGTATAAAATATTATACTTGAATAAATTATAATTTTGATTTGAGAAAAAGAAAGTTGATCTAGTATTTTCTTCCTTGATGGGCATACTCTTACCCGTATAAAAAAATAAAACCTTCACTCATATGGAGTGAGTCTGTCAGTACTTAATGAAAAACTGACTGATATCATATTAATATCTTCAATAGATTGTTTCAACCTAATATATTGCCCCATACATTTAGCTGAATATTGAAGTTATATAAATTACTTATTAAGTTTTAAATTTCTTTGAATTTTTGTAAATTCAAAGGAAGTCTATATTATCAGTCCTAAAGCTGATTTCTAAAGAATCAAAAGATTTTGACAAACAACATATAGACGTGACAGCTTGAAAAAGGCCATAGCTTTTTGATGTTTAATATGGATGTAATAAATTCAGTTATTAGAATAATTTTCTAATTTAGGAAAGAAAGAAAATTTAAAAAATACTAAGTAAGGCTCATTTGCTCATCACATTTTTAATATGTTTATATCATTAGCATAAGCATTTTCTATATTTAAATTTTCTTTTTACTATTTTTTGTTTAAAAAAATTTTAATTGTTGAAGAAATCTGTTTTCCAAAACTACAAAAATGTAGAAAAATACTTCTATATATTCAGTAAAAACAAATCATCTTGATTCTTCTTTATTTAAACAAAGTAATCTTTGTCAGTTTTCTCTAAACAAAATATTATAAACTATTATATTATAAACAAAATTTATAGTATTTATTGTTCTTTACAATTCTGTCAGTTATTAAAAAACAAAATAACTGAAATAGTTTACATATTAAGAGATTCTTTTACTTAATTAAATGATAAACATTTGAGATACTTTAGTTCCAGTTTCAGATTTTCTTTGGGCTCTCAAATCCAGTGTTTTTCTTAGGCCCTTTATTGACTGCCTGGTTAGTTAAACTGGTAAATTGACATATCAAAATAATGTTTCTTATGAATTACAAAGCTCTGTTCCTATCTGTGAAAAAATAATATGAAACAAAAATCAGAAATACTTTGTCTCTGTGGCATAGTAAGGTTTTGAAAATTGAATTTTAAACTATTTTAACTTTTGCTTTTTAAGCAGAAATGAAAAGTAATAAACAACAAAAAATGAGTATGGTTGTAATATCTACATATAATTTGAAATTAGAAGGTTTCAAGTTAACCCATGCAACCAAAATATTCTTTTGGCTACCAAATGTAGTTTCAAAGTGATCTGGCAAGCAACCACATTTATTTTCTTGTTTTTTTAACTTTTTCATATATATTTAATGTGATAAAAATGGGAAGTAAGTTATTGGATTTGTTATATTGTACTGTACATCATACCGGAGTTGTAATGACAAATCAAATACAACTACCATAAAATATGAGAGCAGAGTTGCTAGATTGGACAATTTATCACAAATTGAGTGACTGCAACGATAAACTTTTCAAGTGATAATCTTGATGATTTTGACTTGAAATTGGTTTTTGTAACTTGTGCAAAATTGGGCAATCTTTTTAAAGTGCCTCCCATGCATGAAATTTCAATATTAGCAGTTACTCTTTAGTACAGGCACTTCAGTATAAAAATTTAGAAGTATTTTCTACAGCTTATGCATCACATATGCTTAAGCTGCTACAGAATTGTGGAAAAAGTGGACCAAATACAGTATAACCTCGATTATCCGCCCTAATTGGGGACTGGGGTTGGTCGGATAATTGAAAAGTTGGATAACCGAAAAGTATGAAAAAATCCATTATTAGTGTAGTATATTATTATATCCCATGTAATTAGTATATTAGTATATCGCTATTAACCTATTTTGCGTTGAATTTTCATCGATGTTAAGCCTAACAAAACTTTTTTAAAATAATAATCGTCGCTATTGTATCGTTAAAAATTAGAAAATTAAGCTTCATTTAAATACTGGCTCCCTTTCATGGTCGAATGAGTGTTGCCAGCTAAAACACGTAAAAATAATATTAAAGTAGCCAAGACATAGCCAAATATTGTAGCGCCACATCACTAGCGGACATTTGAAATTTGCCGACTAGGACGGTCGGTTAACCGAGGAATCGGTTGATCGGGGGGGCGGATAATCGAGGTTCTACTGTACAACAAAAAAATATCAAATATAAAAAGGAGTGAAGAGAGCTACCTTTATTTAAAGACTAATTTCAGTTCATATGTATATAAGAGTATATAGGTTGATGTCTTCAATTAGAGTATCAAGTGTAAAGATGCATGGTGACTGGAATCACAACTGATAATTATGCCACCTTTCTAAGTGATCAGACTCTATTTTAGAGACTGAGAGGATGACACATATATGGACATGTTGTAATGGACATAGAGATGGAGCCAATCAAAGGAAACTATTGACTTAATCAAAGGAAATAAGTCAATAGCTTACAGCTTTGCATTACAACGTCTTCTTATTTAGAATGAAGTTTCAAATGTAATGTGCTGTTTCATCCAACAATATCCTGTGGCTGATCAAGGCAGTTAAATTAAAGAAAACACACTTGAATAGAGTTTCCTGTTGAATGGGTTCTGGAATTTTGTAATTGAGTAACAACAAAAAAGAGATCTCGTCAAAGGGACATAGGTCTTTGAGGAAGTACAACAGATTTGTTTTTGTAGAAAAAGAACTATACTAAAAGGAACTTTTAATAACAGGAGAAGAACAGATATTTTTGGGTAAGAACAATGAATCTTGAGGAAAGACCCTCATGTCCTTATGACATAGGCTTTTATCAATGTGGTCCTTCAATTGCTGATCCCAATTGGTTTTGAATCCTGCCTTGCTTTCTAATTGGTCTTGTATGTGTACCAAGTGTAACTTGAGTCCAACTTACATTGCGAGAGAGATCAATGTCAATGCTTAATCTGATGCCAAATTCCAATCCCAACTAGAAATGGTCAATCTTAAAACTTACACTGTTTATTTGTTCTTTTTGTAATGTAAACTTTTACTGACAATATTTTCCATTTAAAGGTTTTTTCCTCTATTCAAAACATTTTTTATATATTTTTAGTGATGAGTTCAGACCCTGTCAGAGCCTCACACAAATGTAATAAAATTATTAAAATAAAATATAGTAGCCTAATAATAGTAAACATGAAGATTGAATTTAGCAATTATTTAATTTTGAAATAATTTATGGATTATATTAAAATAAAAAATAATTAATTTCAATAATTAAATACTTACCAAATGTTCTATCATTTATTTCTTCTCTATTTGTAGTACAAATAACAAAATTTTCATCAGGCAAAATTTTTAAATCCTAACAGAAAAAACAGTTTATTTAAATCAGCATTTTAAAAAAATTTAATATATTATACATAAATTTACAAATTAATAAAGATCAAAATTCTGAAACCCATTTTTTGTTTCTAATAAAATTTTGTAAATCTATAAATTAAGAAATTTCAACTTATTTTATTGATTTATGGCTGTTAATTGTAGAAATGCAGTATCATAAAATAACTTGAATTTTCAAATATTGTGTGTAATATGCATAATACAGTCAAACTTCCATATTATGAACTTCTATATAGCAAATTTCTTTGTATAATGAATTTTAGCTTTGTATAGTACTCTTTCAGTAAAAAATATGTAAAATTGTCTCTAAATAACAAATATGAATTTCTATAGAAAGTCTTTATAAATTAAAAACAATTCAATCAATAGAACTCAAAAACTCAATCCAGATAGAGTAACTAACTAGTCAATTACTCCATCTGGGTTGAGCTTGAATTTAGGTTCAATTTCAGGTATCAATCTGTAACCCTTTGTAAAACTGCAGCCCAAGTATGAGAAATACTGGTTGTCAGCTTTTAAAACATTGTGTAATCTGCCCCCTCATGGCTACTGGTAGTAAAGGAGGAGGAGAAAGATTATCTCTCAATGAGGGCATTTGGATCTAAACGATTTACATTTAGTAAATGTTTTAGAGTTACAGTATTACAGTATGTATGTATTAAAGTAAATCAATTTAATACTGTATTATACAGCAATTCTTAGTAATACCATAATTTTACAGTTAACATGTTTTTATTTAAAAAAATATTATTGTACTATATAAATTTTTGGACAACTTGGAATGCATCTCTATTTACTTCATAACACAGTACTGTGCTGTACAGTATAAAAGATTGATTTTGCACTGATTTTGTTTATACTGTTTTCTTGGGAATGCATCCCTGTCATAAAATCAGAGCAGTCTGTACAATGAATATTGATTGATATTGGTGACTTTTTTTATTGTGTAAAGTACAGTATTTTAACTGAGAAAGCAGTCTTATTTGTAAATAACAACAACAAAACCTTCAAGTAAGATTTAGAAGTCTTATTTGTGCAGGTGGCTGAGATGAGTCATACCTATATTGCTTTACAGTACTGAATGCTATGCTACATTCAAAGGAATTTTACTAAATTTTTTAATCAGAGTTCTCAGAAACATTAGATAGTGAAATGCAATTTCTCAATTTTATTTTAACTTCCGGTTTAAGAGTGGACTGTTCTATACTGTAGTACAAAAATGTCAAAACAAAAAGTGTTTAAGCATTACTAAAAAATGTGTTGTGTGAAGTTGATAAAGGCTCAAAAAAGAAAGACATTGTATCAAAGTTTGGAATTCCTATAAGTAGTCTATCAACCATAATAACAAATCGCAAATCAATTTTGAAATTAGCTGATGGTACAAGACCTAAAGCAAAATGTGCTAGAACCTGTGTTTACATCAATACAATTATTTATATTGGGTGTTTTATTAAATTTATTGCAATACTGAATTATGTTTGATTATAATATATGAAAATTTTGATTATGTTGTCATATAATTTATTCATTGATATTTATTAATAATAAACATTAATGAACTAGTTTTAAAACTAGAACTGATCAATAGATAGTAATAAAAACTTTCTAATAACTAATTTTAAAAAAGAAATAGCCAAATATATTGGATTGTTCGGAAAGTAATTTTGTTTTTTTTTCTGTGGATAAAAACACAATAGTTTTATAATAAATAAATATTTTATTGAATTATATATCAACCATTTTGGTCAAATACCTGTTGTCATCATTTCTGGTAGTAGCATGATTTCACATTCATAAAAGTTTTGATTGTTGCTTACTGATCCAAGTGATTTTTGACATTGTCATTTCAAGTAAATGTCTTACAGTTAAAAAAATTTGTATAGACCAGAACAAATAATAATCTGAGTGTGCTCGATCTGGCGAATATGGTTGGTCTGATAGCACATCCCATCTAAGTTATAACAGTTTCTGATGAGTTACCAAACTTGTGTGAAATCTGACATTATCGCGGTAAAATACTAAACCTGTTTTGTTGATCAATTCTGCCCGCCTTACCTGTTTTATGATATTACTCGATTTGTTTACCTGATGGCAGTACACTTTCCAATCAATTGTTAAATTGTCTGGTAAAAGCTCCAAAAAAAAATTTCCTTAAAATCCCACCAAAGCGAGCATCTCTCTTTAAGAACATGTGGAACCCATATATCAAGCTTTGAAATGAAACCTATTTGTTTCAAGTAATCATAAACAGTTCAATTTGACAAATTTAATCTCTCAATGATTTCACGTATTGTTATTCGGCAGTTTGCTTCAATTGGTACCTTTATTTTGTTTTTATTGGCTTCAACTGGCCATCCAGAACATAGTGCATCTTCAATATTGAAATTGCCAGAACGAAATTTTGTAAACCAGTTTTGGCACTGTCGTTCTGTCAATACATCTCCATACACGTCACACAATTTTTTTCTCGCTTGAACAGCATTCTTACCTTTTTGGTAATAAAAGAGCAAAATATGCCGAAAATGCTGCTTTCGATCTTCCATATTTGATGGGACACAAAAAATAAACAATTGCACAAAATCAAACAAAATTTTTTACAAATAAGCCTTAAAATGCTAGCTGTCAAAATATATAGTGATAATACAGTTTAGAATAAAAATGGCAGAAAAAATACAACTAATCCCTCTAGTGGTAAAAAAAAACAAAATTACTTTCCAAACAACCCAACAGAATACATTCACAATTCACTGATCTCCATGTTAACCATCTCAAAATCAATAAGCTTTGAAGCTAAATGCTTTTCAATATTCTTTATAGAGTAATTAGTAAATGTAGTCATATGTAGTGTAATACAATCTAGCAGATCATTGAGTATTAATAATCAAGAATCAGGTTATTTGATGTTTATATTCATATGTATAGATCATGCCAGAGTAAAGCAATAGCCATCTGTTTGTCATAGAGGGTTTATTAAATTAATATTGAAAGTGTCCCCAGCTGGCAACATTAAAAACCAGTATGGTTATATCTAAATTATTATTAGTTCTAGAGGTGAAGATCAGAACAAGGTCTGAGTAGCATAACTAGCATATGGTAAGTGGAAGTTGTGGGTTTGAGTCTCACTCTGGGTCAATTCTTTTCTTCCATAACTTTCTAAATTTTTTAAATATTTATTTATTTATTTAAGCATACTGGTTTGACCCATGATGTGAAGAATACAAATATACAAATAATCATTACAAAAACAGTACAAACTACAATAATACTGTAATTCAAGAACTACTATGAAATACAAGAACTACTATGAAATACAAGAACTACTATTCAAATGACAACTGAAACAAAATAAATCAATATAAAATTACCTAAAAACAGTTTAACCTTCTGAATAAAGAAAATTAAATCAAAATTATGTAAATTACCAATAAAGTCCAAAAACTTTTCAAACAAAATAGTAGAAATACCAAAAATACTTTCACGTAGTTTTTCTAAACTAGTACACCTAGCTATCATGTGATACGCATCCAATAATGGATCACCTTGGCAATGTATGCAAATATCTCTGCAATAATTCTGCAAAAAATTAAGAGAATTACATCTAATTTGCATTATTGTAGAGCTAATATTATAAGAAAGGTTACTATTATAAACAAAACAATCAAAGAACGATTTATTTAAATGCTTATATCAAGTATTATAAGAACTCAAATTAATATGCCAATTCAAGTCCAAAATAAAATTATCAAAATAATTTAATTTTAGTAAACAGCAACAGTTATAATTTAATAATTTAATAATTCATTGAAATTAATACCATTATTAAAACAAATATTTTTTAAACTTTTAGTCCACACAGAGTCATTCTTATTAAGAATATAACAAACACATTCTACTCCAATGCTTTTCATCCAATTCCATTGTTATAAAAATCCAATTCAAACACTTATTTAAAACTATAAAGAAAAAGGTAATAATGAACACTCCAGAAAAATTAAATATCTTGGAGTATACTGAGATAAACCAAATAACTTTTTAATAAAAATAGCCAACACTGGATCTAAATCATCAAACTGATAACCCCATACCCCATACCTCAAGCATATAACAAAGATGAAGTAACAATTGAATTAAAAATCCTTAAACAATCACTCATATTACATAATTTAGCTGATCTACACATCTGAATAACTCTGTCAGTTTTAATAAAAGCATTCCTTTTAAAATCTGATGTAGGATTTATATTTTTCCATTACACTTAAATATAACACCCAGATATTTATATTGTGAGACTACTTGTATTACATCATTTCTAAACCACCTATAGATAAAGAATCTTCAAATACCGGATTAATATAAAAATATAAAAATAACCACTTAACAAAACCAATAACCGGTATTAAATAATTGTAAAATGAACTGCAAACGTTTTTGGTTCCTTCCCTAGGACCTTCTTCAAGCAACGATTCGTCTTTAGAATAAATATGAACGAAGACCAGTAAATTGCGACATTCGAAAAATTATTCTTCCGAACAACATTTCAAAAGTCAAAATTTAACGTTAATGTGAATCACGTGCATTCCCGAATTCCGTAAATAAATTCAATAAAAAATAAAAAATGTTCAGTTTACATATTCATATGATGTTTAAACCCTATTTATGAAACGTATTATTAATGCGTATCTTCTTTCTGTAGTAGGGACTGCCATGCAAGGGATAGGGTAATTTCATCCCTCGAGTTAATAGGTTCAAAAGTGTTGTATGCCTTGCAGATCTCCATTTGTTCCAACCATTTGAGGTGGTCCGTAAATGTAGTGGTAATGAGGAGTCTGGCGTTATCAAAGTCTACCAAAATCTCAGGGTCCGAAGCATACATGGATAACGAAGTACTACCCCTGTTGTGAATGATGTCACTTTTGTGTTCCGCCCATCGGACACCAATCGAACACTTAGTAGCACCAATGT